ACTGTATCACTACAGTAATAAAATTTTGTTTACTCGTGATGGTTGTTTTATCTAGGACCAGCACACTGGGGAACTGAAGGGGAAGGGGCGTAGGCTTGGAAGATTGTTTGCTCTAGAATTTGAGAATAAGAAAGCTCCACCAGATTCTTGTTTGCTATCTACTACTTCTAGTTTTTCTCCTACCTCTTTTAATAATGTGTGGCACTTATGGCATAGACGTTTGGGTCACGCTCATGCTAAAAACTTGGATTATTTATTTTCATCTAGTTGTTTGCCTATGATTGTTACTTCTTTTAAGAATGTTGATAAATCTTGTTTAACTTGCTGCTATAGTAAAAGCCATGTTTTGCCTTTTCCATCTTCTACTAAACATGCTTTTACACCTTTTATCTTATTCACAGTGATGTGTGGTCGTCTCCAGTTATTTCACGTTTGGATTATAAATATTTTGTATTGTTTATTGATGACTGTACTCGATATACATGGGTTTACTTCCTTCAAAAGAAATCAAAGGTCTTTCCCATTTTTAAGAACTTCCATGCTATGATTATAACCCAATTTAAAAGCACTATAAACATTTGGGGGTCAGATTCAGGGGGAGAGTACTTTGATGGAGAGAATGGTGAGTTTCAAACCTACCTCAAACAACATGGCATTCGGTTATAGAGATCTTGCCCAGGTACACCTCAACAGAATGGGGTATCTGAGTACAAGGATTGTCACATTGCTAGTATGGTGAGATCCTTGTTACAAGACTCCCATGTTCCCATTACCTTCCGGGTGGAGGCAACCCACACTGATGTTCATCTCATCAACATTCTTCCTACTGCTATCCTTAAAAATTCTTCCCCCCATCAATTCTTGTTTCATTGTCCCCCTAATCTATCCATGCTTCGTGTCTTTGGTTGTATCTGTTTTGTCCATCTTCCTCCTCATGGGGACACTAAGCTAACAGCTCAATCAACTATGTGTGTATGGAACACAAGGGATTTCTCTGTTATGATCCCAAAGTCCGAATACTGCACATTTCTCGTAATGCCATTTTTCTTGAGGACCTTTCATTCTTTGCACATATTAGTAAATTACCTGCACCATCCTTTTTTGTTCTACAACATTTTGGCTCTGTAGGTGATCTTCCTCCCACATCTCTACCACTTCAGATTTATTTTAGGAAGCATCCAGGTCGCCCACTACCTATGCCTCCACCACCAGCACTAGTGACTGGTGATTCCTCTCCACCCATCACTGTTGTAAGTTCCTCTTCCCATCTTGTTGATTTGCCTTTATCCGTTCCTTGCGTCAATCATCTTGTGTTTCTCGTCCACCTGACTACTATGGCTTCTTTTCTAGCCATAGCTCCTTCTCAGTTGTTCTGTCATTTACAGATATTCCCAAGTCTTATAACCAGGCTGTAGCAGTTAAGCATTGGAAAGATGTTATGGACTCTAACGTTCATGCATATTGGAGAATGATACCTAGGAGTTGGTCAACCCTCCTCCAGATGCCTCCATCATTGGTAGTCGATGGGTTTACAAAGTGAAACTTAAATCAGATGGTACTCTAGACCAAGGATTAAAGTATCGGTATCGAGTAATGTATCGAACAGCTTGGATACGGATAGGATTAGGATACGGATACGGATACGGATACGGATATGATTTGGAAACGCATGGATACGGATGAAAAATATGAAACACTAGGATACACTAGGGAAACACATGCAAATTTCATAAATACATTAATAAGATTAAATTTATGGTCAAATAGCAATAAATAATGTATAAATATATAAGAAATATATATTTAATGGTGTACATAAAAATATATTATAATTAATAGCATAATGCACAGATATCATACAATGCATTAATTAAGAGCCCAAGATGGACTTGTTATATTTATCCTAATTATTATATCAATTATTTTCTATTTTATTATTTTTACATTTTAACATTAACAAAAAAGTTAACCAAATATTAAATTCTCAAATATAAATTAAATTATCATTCAATAATTTATAAAAATATATGATTTTAACTTAAAATATATAAAATTGGTCAAAATTTCTAAGATATATATCCTATGAAAATTCATAATTTTTAATTATTAAAATAATTATTTCATTATTAAAATTTTTATTTGTATAAATTTTTTGAAATTAAAAATCAATTTTCATATAAATTTAAATTAGTGGATTTGATAAATCCAATTTAATATTATATTCTTGAATATTTTGCAAACAGATTTTCATTTTTTTGTAAATAATAAATATGTTGTCATTTAATGTAGATTAAAATATTAATTATAATTATAAAAATATATAAAATTTGTAAGATATATATCATGTGCAAATTTATAAATTTTAAGTAGTAAGGTAATTATTCTACTATTAATATTTTATTTGTATAAATTTCTTGAGATTAAAATCATCTTTTGATGTAAATATATTTTTTTTGGTACTCATTTTGATGTAAATATAGAATTGGTAGATTATTTATTCCATTTGTTTATAAAATACTAATTTTAAATATTATTTATTTTAATTTTTAATTGGGGTTGTTAAACATAAATATTGATTATTTAATTGGATAGACATTAATAAAAGTTGTCTTATTTCGTTAAATATCATAACGCATGGCATGGCCAAGTGGTTTGATGGAGAGTTTAAGGCTTTTGGCGCCACGCACTATGTTCTAGGTTCAAATCACGCTATTAGCAGCTTTTGCATTTTTAATCGAAGACATTGTGTATTTGTCAGTATCGGTGCATATCGGTCGATACAATGTGATACGGGCCGATACACACCCGTATCGGTCTGATATGTGCGATTTACAGGATACGTTTCCATTCGTAATGTATCCTGTATCGCCCTAATCTGATACCGATACGATACACCCCGTATCAGACGTATCGTATCGATATTTAAATCCTTGCTCTAGACACATATAAAGCCCGGTTGGTTGCTCAAGGCTACAAGCAAGAATATGGAATTGACTATGATGATACCTATGCTCTAGTGGCCAAAATGACAACAGTCCGTTTACTCTTGGCCATTACTACTATTAGACAATGGACAATTCATCAAATGGATGTCAAGAATGCCTTTCTCCATGGGCATTTACAAGAAACAGTTTACATGAAACCACCTCCCAGCTATTGTGATGATCCTCATATAGTGTGTAAACTGAAGAAATCTTTATATCCTCATATAGTGTGTAAACCACCTCCCAGCTTGGTTTGACCACTTCCGTACAATGGTGTTGGAGGCTGGCTTTCAACAAAGTGCTTCGAATTACTCTCTTTTCACTCTCAAGCGAGCATAGGGGTTGACTCTTCTCTTGGTATATGTTGATGATATACTTATCACTGGAGATGAATGTGGATGGCATTAACAATTTGAAGCTCCTCCTCAGCAACTCCTTCAAAATGAAGGATCTTGGGCCTGTCACCTATTTTCTTGGGCTTGAAATTCAGCGATGTCCTCAAGGTTATTTTGTTAACCAACATAAATATGCCTCTAATTTGGTGACACTTGCTCGTTTGACTGATTCTAAACAAGTGGATACACCTCAGGAGCTTAACTGTAAGCAAAGCAAAGATGATGGTGAGCTTCTCCCTGATGTTACTCTATATCGACAGCTTATATGTACTCTTATCTACCTAACTATGACTAGACCGGACATTTCCTATGCGGTCCAGCTTGTCAGTTAGTTTGTATCTACTCCACGTCAGCCCCACTTCTCTGTTGTTCTCGAAATCATCCGTTATGTCAAGGGCACCCTATCTCATGCCTTGTTTTTCTCATCTTCATCCTCCACCCAACTTCGAGCTTATGTAGATGCAGATTGGGCAGGTTGTCCCGACACTCGTCATTCCACTACTGGTTGGTGAATATTTCTTGGTGACTCTCTGATTTCTTGGAAATGCAAGAAACAACAAACTGTTTCCAAGTCATCTACAGAAGCAGAGTATAGAGCAATGCCCTCAGTATGCAGTGAAATAGTCTGGCTCAAAGCTCTACTTCATGACTTGGACATTGATCACTCATCTGCCATCCCCCTGTTTGCTAACAACATGATTGTGATCAAGATTGCATCCAACCCAGTATTTCATGAGTGCACTAAACATATTGAGGTGGATTGCCACTTCATTCGTGATCTTCTCCTTGTCGGTCATATCTCTCTCCCACATGTCTCCTCAGGCTTACAGCTTGCAGACCTCTTAACCAAAGCTATGACCAAAGCCCGACATAATTTTCTTATAGACAAACTGATGCTTATCCCCCAACATCAATTTGAGGGGGAGTGTAGAGAAGATGCAAGGTATTTATGTAATTTTATCTTTCTTTCTTGTATTTTAGTAGGCGTGTACATTAGTGTACAGCTTCTTTAATTCTTTTGTAAGGACAAATTTGTCCATTCATATTTTTTTAATATAAATACTCTCTTTTTGGGTTGGTTCGATCAGATTGACAACCCTAATAGATCTGGACTATTGTTCTTCCTCTTGTCTCTTCATTTTCTCACAAACTAACAAGAAATTGCATTTAAGAACAACTTGAGACAGCAAATGACATGTAGGAAAGAGAGTTTCCTATGTACAAACATCGTCCATGTAGAAATCATCCCTCAAACTGCAAGGAAGTTTGAGAAAAATATACATGACAATCACATGAATAGACATAACCAGAGGTTGCTAGAAAGTGAAATCGTATCTCATCAAAAGGATATCTTTCCTATTAAAATTTCTTCCAAAATAGAAAAGTTTTGTACAAAATGATAATTTATGCATATAAGACTTATTGTAATGTTATATAAAGCAGCACTTAGGCCATAATCATCTGCCAAAAACTTAGAACCAAATTAAGTAAAAACCTATTAACAATTTTATCCACATGAGCAGTAAATGAAATTTTCCTACAAGTATTCAGACAGATAGATATAGAAGCAAAAGAGTCATCAGCATGAACTCATAAATTTTAGTTCTGTATATGCCCATACCTCCCGATGTCCTATTTATACATGGCCTCCACTCACCGCCTTTATAAGGGTGTCTCCACACAGTTGCCAACTACAGTAAATTCAATAGCTATATGTTAATGGAAAATCTTAACTAAATAGTAAACAGAAGATCAACAGAAGCTGTATGAAAAAACAATAGACAAACTTGTTTATCAATAGCAAGAAAACTTTATAGAAAATAATCAAAAGCAAGATGCACAAAAACAATTTGAGAATAAAACACAAAATGCAAAATCACTGGACCAAACCCAAGCCTTCCTTGAAGGATAACCTCAAAGCTGGAAAACCCAAAAATGATACATAAATATACCAAGTCCCTACAAACACAATAAAGTGGTGCTCAACCATCAAAATTATGCTGAAAAACCTTAACGCAAATAATTATAAGGACATAAATAGAGGCATGTACCAAGGTCAAATTGTCAATGACAAAATCAGGATGGAATAGTGGTTGTGACTCTTGACTGGCATTTTGCCAGAGGTATTTTTGATCAAAAGAAAAGAAAGGAATTCATTAGTTAATCAATTAAAAGAGTCACAAAAAGAGGTTATGGATACAATAAAAAAAGCAACAACACTACATTCTCACCCAACCACCCTCCTCACATTTGAGCCCAAAGCATTTGCTGTCTATTAACCCCTTGTTTAGCCAAACAGTTTACAAACCTACATACCCATCTGATTTGTATTTGCATGTCTTTTGAGGACCATTTGAACCGTCTTAATTCATTTCTGAAGTTCCACATCACATTCTTTTCCTTCATTAACCATCCAACTACCACCTTCAAATCCCCTTCAATCATCAACCACTTAACTCCCATTTCTTTCACTTTTCGCACCCCAAATACTACTGCCCAAAGTTCTGCCCTTATTGAATCAGCTTCTTGTATTGGATCTGAAAACATTGCACATATGGTTCCATTCTCCTCTGTCACATTCCCAATTCCAAAAGGCCCAGGATTACCCATGCTGCTGCCATCAAATTTCAACTTCAACCACCCTTTTTTTGGATGTTTATCAACCAGAATGCATCTAAGTCCAAAAAAAACCAATAAAAGCATAGAATAGCCTGAAGAGAAACTGTTAAACAGAATTAGTAGAGTTGACATTTACCTAATCAATTAAAGGTTCACAAGTTGGTGTTCACCAAGACCTATAGAAGTCTTATCAAATTCTACAAAGAGTTAACAAAAGAAAGAAGAGAAGACAAAAGATGGAAATAAGATGAAAACCCTAGGCAATCACACCCCCAACTTGGCAATCACACCAAATTCTGTAGAGAAGTTTTCTTGGTTCATCAGCCAAAACTGTTCAACAAATGAGTCTTACAAACTTGATAAGAAAGAAGCTTCTAAAGGAAGAAACTCGCCCCCCAAGTTAGTTTACTCAACAAGACACTTACAAAAAGAAGCTAGATTAAACTAAACCTGCCCCCAACTAATTACAAACATAAAGCCAAACAAAGGGAAATTACTAGGCTAAGAACTGTCCCCAAATATAAGCCCTAAATACAAAACTACAAAAATACACTTGATGTCCAGAAACATAAAGGTCAAATAATTTCTATCCAGCAGCAAACTCAACCACACAAAGAGCATCTTAAGGAGGATTGAAGATTCTAGGATATTCCCAAGTTGATCCACTACTAACCCAGATCCCATGTGGGCATCAAGTCATCATATGATGCCAAATAAGCAGAGGAGCAGCTTTGGTTCTCTTTCAATATGCCTTAAGTTGATTCCCATCACAGTCAATTTACTCATGAGAACAAAAGAGGAAAAAAAACACATGAATTTAAATCTAATTAGAGCTAGGGGATTTAATTGTTTATAAAAACACATGAAATTAGTCTTTGATGAAGATTACCCAAAAGAAGTTTGGAACCTCAAATTTCAATTGGGACCTAGGAATTAGTAATGACTCGTATGGGTGCTCAATTCGGAGAGGATTGGGAAGATTCCATGGCAAGTTTCTTCAATGAGTCAAGATGAAAGGAGGAGAAGGAGAAAGGGTAAATTTCTGAAGAGACATCTGATTTGACAGTAGAGTTTTGATGGAAAAGTTCCCTAACTATTTGTCATATCTTATAATAGAGATGTATGAGTTGCAGATGTACGAGTGTGATGGAAACACAGTGAGATAGTCCCTTGTTTTCAGAAGAAATTTAAATGACTGGGGGCTCAAGAACTTGATTAATTTAATGAGAGTGCTAGATAACATAAGCCCTCTGCTAGGGGAGGTGGATTCCAGGCTATGGAAGTGGAAGAGAACTGGAAACCTCTTGTTGAAGTAATTTTTGCCAGAAACTAAGCAGTGATGAAGTGACAAATTTTCCCCATAAAAAGATTTGGGTTCCACAGGCTCCACCTAAGGTGGCTTTCTCCTATGGACAGCTGTATGTTGAGAAGGGGAATGCATCTCAATTAAGCGGACTGTGTGCTCTGTGGGAAGAAGACAGAATCAGCATATCATCTACTTTACAATGCACTACAGAAAGGAATGCATATGATTATTTCTGCAGAATTTTAAACATCAGATGCTGTCACCAAAGACATTGAAGGAACACATTTAGGGGTGGAAAGTGGGTGGGATCAACAACAGGGAAGGAAAATCTGGAGTTTAATACTTTTAGCAGTGATGTGGGGTATATGGAAAGAGAGAAACAGTAGAATATTCAAAGACAAACAAAGCTCTTTGGAGAATGCAATTAGAAGAATATTGGGTTATTCATGGATGTCAATACAAGAGAAGTTCAGAGATATACTACAGTTTATATTTTGATTTTGATGTTCTGTTCTCTTAAAGAAATATTCAAGCCAGCTTTATTATCTTTGCTGGAAGATTGTTTGTTGTCTCGCTGTACACATTTTCTATATGGTGCTTTGCACAATGAATACAAATACTATACTGTTTGCTTCATAAAAATGTACACTTAATGAGATGGAGAGTCCTCGGATTAGAAAATAATGAAATCTAGAAAATATACAAAAAATACATAAGCAAATGGTTCACTATCCCCCTCCAATACCTGTCCGTATCTGCCCACTTCATAACATTGAACTCTTTCAAAGCTAAAGTAAAGGCCATAGGGCCCACATATCTGCAAAAGCACCCCTTTTCCTTAAAAATATTCTTCCACTCCATTCTCTCTCCAAATGCCCCAAAGCACTCCAAAATGTGTGATGTGCCCTTTGTCTTCAAAAGGAATGGATGGTCATCCTTGCAATATTTAATGTGGCATAGTGAGTAACCTCCAATTACAATGAAAAGGCTGCAAACACCTTTGGTCATATCAAACTCTAAAAATAGATGCCTCCCATATTGTTCATTAAAGGAGTCGATGAAGATTTTCTTCAATTGGACAAAGTGGCATTTTCTATCATAGATCAAGATTCAAGAAAAGTGACATTTTAAGCATTAATAGTGAAGTTGAATACAATGATAAAGATGTTAAATTAAAAGTTTTTGTCATTGTACTGTCTTTCAATTTCCTCTGACTACAAAGTCTACAATAGTGTTTTGAAAGGCGTGGGAGGCATATGCCTGGAGGCATGCTTCCAGGTGAGGCACCCCCAAACGCCCTGAGGCATATGCCAGAGGCGCTGACACCTCTAAGGCGTACGCCTCACTGCCTCAGGTGCAAGAGGTGTATGCCTCATATTCTTTTTTCATGAAGCATGCTAGAGGCGTACACCTCATGCACATATTTCATATTGCATTTTTGCCCAGAATGTTCACATAGTTTTCTCTGACTTCCCTCACAATCTAATATGTTGCCTATCTTGCTGAAATGATGCACACAAGTATAAATGGTGGGTTTTAAGTCATATTACCCTGGATGCACTTTTCCTTGACTATCATCAAAGCAGAAACTTTAGACACAAGAGGGGAAAAAAATGTTGCTCTCATACAGAACTTGCGATCCCACTTGAGAATGGAACTCACATGCAACCTTAGTAACTTAGGAAGAGACAACTTGGATTATTACACTAGGAGAATAACCAATTTTATTCCATTCTCTTATTCTTATATAGTTGCCCTGAAACATTTAGTTTAAGAGTATGCTTCAGTAATTTTTCTTCTTGTCGTTCAAGAACAATCTGAACAGTTTATTTCATGTTTAGAAGCCGCTACTAGCCATCAGCAACTTCAAACAGATAGGAATACATAAATCTACCAACAATCACATGATGTAAGTAGCAATAGGACCATGAATTTGGAGGATGACTTCAACCCCTTTCATATAGGAGGTCAACCGGTTTAATGAAGTTCATCTCCACGTAAACCAAATCATGTTTCAGACGTATGAAATGAACTTGAAATGCATGCAAGCACCTTCAATTCAATGGATGTCAAAAATCTTCTAAAATGATCTTTGAACTATTAAGAAAAGTATCGTATTCATTCTTTGCTAGTTCAATGTTCTTGAATTTGTTAATGTTACTGAAGTTCTCTTAAAAATTCCTTTCTGCCACCTTTTTATATCTCACAATCATTAAGTTGGGAAGTCGACAACCCCAAGACAAAGAATGCCATCAACTGAGCTACCTAAATGTCCACTCAATAGGATACCAACCTATTACATTATCACTTCCAACTAGATGCCCACCAAGCACAAAATAGAAAACAAGCAAATTAGTTATATGATTCCGTGATCAAAATCAATATGGTTCATTGCAAACGAAAAAAAAAAAGCATTATTTTCCATCTTTTGAAATATAAATAAGTGCTTTCAGCTAAGCTATCTCATTGTTCAGATCTCCACCAAGTATAGCGACTAGCGTCGCACATGTATTTCTTAAGCAAACTCATAAATTCATATCACATACAGATCAAAGCATTACAGAAGAAATAAACACAAAATATATGGCTTAATTAAGTTAAAAAGGATCCCAATCATTTCCATTTCAATTTCATTTACAAATTTTAACTCCACCCATCAATTTGAATCACCAAAAAGTAAGAAACAAAGAAAAATCTTGAAGAAACTAACCCCATCGGCGGAGGAATTATCGGAGTCCATTTCAGGCCGGAGCTTTTCATACACTTGGGGGCTTCTGTAAACGGAACCCGGCGCGAGACGGTGCTTGATATGCGGAACGACGTCGAAAGAGGCCGTGCCCATGTATAGCAGCATCCCCGCAATGTAAATGAGAGGCGCGAAGAGAAAAACGCCTTGGCGACGATGCAAGAAAGAAAGTAAGGTCCAGGCGAGTCGCTGGGCGAGTGTCCGAGGTTGATGGCCTGCTGTAAACCTCCCGCTCTTCCCCCTCCTACACCTCGGCGACCGGAGAGGCGACTGCGGTGGTGAAGGTGATGGTGTGTTGTGGCCGCTGCTGCTCGATAGCCGATTGTGCGGGTGCATCTCTCTGTCCCGCGTTCCTTGCAGCCCTTACGAAGAGATCTCTCGTTCTCGTGGTCGTCTCTGCATCATCACAGGTCTCTCTCTCCTGTTTTTTTTTCTGAAAATAATCAAAAATTTGGAAGAAGGGAAGAGAGAGCATGGAGGAGAGAAGAAGAAAGCAGAGGAAGGAGAGTGGACAACTGGACATGAGTCTTTGTGGGGAGGAGAGAGAAAGATGGGGCAGAAAACACGTGCACTCAGATACGGGTCGGATCATGCCCACCTGATACTTGAAAGATATTATTATTGCGTTCCCTTGTATGTACGGGGATATCGGGTCGTGTTCGATCCATTTGACCGTCTCTCTCTCTCTCTCTGTCTCCCTGTCTGGCTTCGTCTTCGTTTGATGGAACTATGGAAGGAGCGGCGACTTGGAGAAGGTTATCCTTATTTATTTTGGAGGGTCGAAGCGAGGCATATTGCCATATTCTCAGGAAGATAGCATGATGGACAGACGACGAATTGGCCTTGAATTTGTCCTGATATCACGATTTTGCCATTATTTATTTTGAACCCGACGATTCCAGGATTTCCGGAATTGACAATTCCAGGATTTTTTTTTTGAACTTATTGATCAAATATAGTTTCCAAGTTGACACTTGACAGGGAAAGATCCAAGAGACTTGCGGAAATGAAAATGACGGGGAAACAGGGTGGAGGCGAAACTGACGGAAGTCAATTCCTGGATTTCTGGATTCCTCGTTTTTTTTTTATTTAATTTCGCAGTGGAACGGAATTTGGAAGCTGGTGGTTTGTAAATTTCGAACCACACGCTCTGTTTTTTTGTTGAAATCATACGTTTCGTATCCGGTCTATCGTATCGTATCAGTTAGGCCCGAATTTTCAAAGAGGTGTTTCGGATTTTGATCAGTTTCAAGTTTCGAGGAAAGAAATATTTGATGCAACTAAAATAATTTGATGCACATTGGATGCATCAATAATTTGAACCATGATTTCTAGCCCTTTTAATTTATTTTGATGCAACTAGCAAGGAAAGCAACATTTCATCATAAAAACAATGAATACCTGGTTCGAATATTTAATGCTGAAATTGTTAAGCTATAATAGGCTTAAATTTAGAGATCATAGTTGGGATAAGGCTTAAATTTAGAAACTCTGTAGTTAAAAGGAAAGAATCTATATTGCCAAAAAGGCATGATATGGGAAGTGTTTTTGCCCTTAACGGTGGGTGGTGGTGCGGATGAATGAATTAGAAAATGAATAAGATGAACAGTGTTTTTACCCTTAACTAATATTATTTTTAAAAACTTATACTATTTTTGAAATTTTATTAAAAATATTACTTTTATTGATATTAGGGTTCAAAAGTTGCCTTTATCAATTATAATCCCTTCAATAAATAAGCATCTAATTCGTTACTACTTTTATGATACCTGTTGATTGTTTATCACTTTCAGCCTGAAAAAAAAAATGCTCTATTTGTTCCATCATAAAAGAGACAAATCGTGTAGCTTTAACCTTTTTATGCAACCAAAATTGTTTGGATGTTGAGGAATTTTGGGAAATTATACCTATAGACTAAAAAGATATATACCTCGTAATAGTATCTCAAAATCATAAATACTAAAGGTTATGTATGATTGAAGTTAAAAGAATGAAACCAGCTAGGACTGTAGTCAACTGACTAGTCGAGTTTAGTCAAAGTGTTGAGCTACTCCAGCTCAATTTGATTCAAAAACTTGGAGTTTGAAGCTAAATTTGAGTTAATACCCATGAGTTATTTGAGCTTAGCTCGACTTGAACCGATTATAAATAAATTAAAATTGATATTATAAATAAAAGTATATTAGAAAACTCAATTATAAATTCATTTATTTATATTATAAAGATTAATTATCAAAAGTTAATATTTATTTATATTATAAATAAATATACATTACAAATTAATGTTTTATTATAAGATTGATTAGGTCCACAAACCGCTCAAATCAGCCATTGGGAAGCCCAAACTCAAGTCAAATAATTGCTCAACTTAAGTCAAGCTCCACTCGAATTTAATTATTTTTCAGCCAAGTTCAAGTAGCTCAGCTCGCTTACACCCCTAGAACCAAATTAAGGCTCAGTTTGGAAAGAATATAAATACAAATATATAATAGTACAAGGTTTTGCACTCTGTGTAGAATGCAAAAACTTTGTATGTTGTATTATTTTGTATGTATTTGTACTGTATATATTTGCACTTGTACTCTTTCCAAACTAAGCCCAACTGTTTTTTAAAAACAAAAAAAAAAATCATTTTTTCATCCAAAACACCCTTCTTTTATAGGCTCCATGCTTTTCAATATAAAAGTGGTGAAAAGTGCTTCTATGTGAAATATCTCAGTATCTAAACTAATGTTTTCAAACCGTGGTCCACCCAAGCAACCAGACCAGTTGACCTTTTTTTTGTATTTTTGGCCATTTTCATCATTAGTTTAATTCATTTTTATTCATTAATTTTTGGCCATTTTTTCTACAAAATTTCTTTATTTTAAATATTTTTTGTACTTTCTCTATTTCTATATGTTTATCATTTAATTATGAAGTCATGAGATTGACACATTTGAAAAGTGTGTAATCTAAGCTAGTTATTTTTTTTCCTTCAACACGGCTTGCCATTATTTTTATTTATTTATTCATTAATAGTATAATAATATAATATTTTAATTATCTATATCCGAATCAGAGTCAAGTATGTCCAAGCCTAATGGACAAGATCCGGTTTGATTAGTAAGTAATAAAATTTGGAATTAGAAACAGCTATCGGGTTTGACCCGAACCATTTACAGCACTACAGCAGGGGAGCCACGTGGCACCTTCTTTATTTAAGAAAAACAAAATGCCATGTAACTAAAACCTCTCCTAACAGACATTCATAATGTCCCTTTGCTTTGTATGGGTGGACATCAAATTTTAAAACAGCACGTGAAACCGACAGTGAAACCAAGCTAACGGTCAAGATTTGTCGCCTAACAAAAAGATTGTGGGTTAGGGTAAATTGGGTTTGACGCGGAACACATAATTAAACCTTGATCATGGCTGTCATTGTTCATCTTTCCTTTTTCATCCACACATCCAGGGGGACAAAACGTATCCCAACCTACGCCATTGGCCCGTTGCCTTGACTGAAAGAAATTTGGGTCATTCCATCATTCCATGAAGGACGCAGAGCATCTCAGTGATAGATACGTGCCTTCATTAGACCTACTAAGGTAGTGCGCTCATGAATCATTGCAACGTGCCTTCATTCTACCGCTTCATCTGCAACGGCTTTCATCTGCGGTGGTTTTTAGGCATCAACTGCTTCATCTGCAACGATTACATTTTACTTTGGTATATTTTAAAACAGAACAATAATAAAATCATTTCATTTCTGTGTTATTTTTTCTTCTCTTATTTATAATCATTTTTGAGTTACTTTTTTTCTCTTATTTAAAATCATTTTTGGGTTTTTTTTTTCTCTTATAAAATCATTTCTGGGTTAATTTGTTTCTGGGTTTTTTTTTTCTCTTACGTAAAATCATTTCTGGGTTTATTGAATTGCTTAATTTGTTTGTGGTTTTATTATTGTTTAGTGCTTATTGCTTAATTTGCCATCTATCAGCCAATGTGTTACGGTGTGCCAAATAGGAACTTTGGCTCTGGTTGACAGCCATATGCAAAGCATGTTACCAACTTCCTTTGGGAAAGTTAAAGCCAATCAAGTATTGTGAACAGCGATCTGAATTCTGGGTGCTATAATAGTATAATGACAGAGGACGAGCTCCAATGCCATCATATTCATTATTACTCGATCATTTCGATATTGATGCAAATTTTATACCCCTGATCATGAAAGTAACTGATAAATGCAATAAGATCATAAATTCTAAGAGGTGGATGTCCAAGCAGCAACATACTGAACATCTGTCTCTGATATGGTCTGATCTGGTCGTGTGTGCAGATATCAATGAGCTACACGATAAAGCGAAGCAAAAGCAAGTTGATGGAAGGAGTGAGCAAGTGCAGAGAAGATATGGGTTCATATGACAAGAAAATGGAAAATTTGCACTATGATGGACTGAAATTCTAGAACTTGTCTGAATTATCTAACTAATGAGTAATAAATAGGATAGTGCGCTCATGAATCATGACTTAATGAGAGAGCAGATAATTGAATCATCGTTCTTTTTTCCCCTCATTT